TAATAAGGCAAGTATCCCATTTGCCACCTTAACCACCACCTGCTATCTACCTGGCTTGCTGCCTTCAAGGATCTATGGATGCACACCAAGAGATTCTTATGACCCTCTCTCTACTTCCTGGGGTCCAACCATTCAATGTGTACTCACTTGTTTTTAGTTCCCACGTTACAGGATTAAATTCCATTTGCCACTGTTTAGCTCAGCTGACCAGCCTGTCCAATCTTCTATGTGATGTAGCAGAGAGATGAAAGTTTCTCCTAGGAGCAGGAGTGTCTTGCTGCAATTAAGACAGGGCCTTAGTGAGACCAAACCTGGAATATTATGTGCAGTTTTGGCCTGCTTATCTGAGGGAGGATGCTGTTTCTATAGAGGGGCAGTAATGAAGGCCTACCAAACTGATTTACGGAATGGCAGGACTGATTTATGAGGAGAGCTTAAATCAATTGGATATATAATTTCTGGAATTCAGAAGAATGAAGGGAAGTTTCTTAGAGTCTTGAAGTCATAACAGGATTAAATGAGGTAGATGATTGTGGAGTCCAGACCTAGAGGTCACACAGTCTATGGGTTAAGTCTTTTGGGACTGAGTTGAGAAATTTATTCCCCCAGGAAGTGGTGAGCCTATGGAATTCACTACAACAGAAAGCAGTAGAGGCAAAAACAAGGTGTGGTTTCAAGAAAGTTGTATGTAGCACTTGTGGCAAAAAAGAACAAAGTAATGGGGGATGTGTCGAGCTAATGAGTTGAGTGATCAGCTGTAATCCATAATGAATATCAGCAAGCTTAAAGGGCCAGATGGCCTACTCCTCTCTTTTCTGTTTCTATATAGTGTTGGTAAGACCACATCTGTATGTGCCAGCAATTTTGAACATTAGTTAGGCCACATTTTGAATATTGCATACAGTTCTGGTGACTGCTCTACCAGAAGGATGTGGAAGCTTTGGAGAGGGCATAGAAAATGTTTAGCAGGATGTTGCCTGGTTTGAAGGGTATTCGTTAGAGTTTGGAAAAACTTGATTTGTTTTTGACTTGAACATCAGAAGCTGATAGTTTACAAAATTGAGAGACATGGATAGTTGGTGTCTTTTACCCAGCATACAAATGTTAATTACTAGGAAACATAGGTTTAAGCTAAAAGTAGCAAAGTTTAAAGGAGATGGGAACGGCACATGTTTTAAACAGGGGGGTGTTAAGTGACTGGAATTAGGTGCCAGAGGAAGTGGTAGCAGATACAGTAGCAATGTTTGAGGCGCCTTGATGGATATAAGAATAGGCAGGGAATAGAACGATACGGATAATGTAGAGGCAGGGAGCTTTTAGTTTAGGAAGCCATCATGTTGGCACACTTCTAGTGGGCCAGAAGATCTGTTCCTGTGCTGTACTGTTTGTTCTGTTTGAGTAAGAGATATATCTCACTTTTTAAAAAACAGTGAGGATTACTTTTATTTTACCCCTGAGGGCGGTTGTTGTGGAATACTCTTCCCTAGAAGGTAGTGGAAGCTGGTCTTAAAATGAATTCAAAACAGAGTTAAGTTTTTGATGAGGGAGTTTGGGGACATTGAGTCAGAGTTTTTACAGCTGGAGAGGCCCTTTTGATCCAATGGGTCAAACATCCATCTGTTCTAAATTCCATTTCTCACACTTGTATTTTATGGTGTTTCAAATGCTCTTCTAAATAGTTTTTAAATGTCATGAGGACTTCTGCTTATTCCAGATGCCACAACTGTCTAGGTGAAGATATTTTTCCTCAAGTTCTTCTATAATGCCTGCTGCTGGCTTTCAAGCTGCACTGTGGTTGGTGACTGTTGTACTAAGAGGAAAAGTTTCACCGTGTCTGTATCCTGTCAATACACCTCAATCAGATCCCCCTGTCAGCCTTCCATGCCCAAGGAAAATAACCCAGCCTGTCCAGTTTCGTCATAGCTGATTTGTTCAAGACCAGGCAACATCTTGATAAATCTCTTCTGTATGCTGTCTAGTGAAATCATATCTTTGCTATAGTGTGGCGACGAGAATTGGGCACAGTATTCCAGCTGTAGCCTTACTACTACTAAGTACATCAATGTCTTGACTAATAAGGCAAGTATCCCATTTGCCACCTTAACCACCACCTGCTATCTACCTGGCTTGCTGCCTTCAAGGATCTATGGATGCACACCAAGAGATTCTTATGATCCTCTCTCTACTTCCTGGGGTCCAACCATTCAATGTGTACTCACTTGTTTTTAGTTCCCACGTTACAGGATTAAATTCCATTTGCCACTGTTTAGTTCAGCTGACCAGCCTGTCCAATCTTGTAGCCTAAGGCTTTCTCCTCACTATTTAATCAAATTCAAATTCAATCGAATTTGTTTGACATGCAGAGCCATACCGATTACCTTTGATTAATCCATAGACTTTCCAAGTGGAGGTTAATTCTATCCCCTTGAAATTCTTTCCAGTAGTTTTCCTAACTCTGATGTTAGGCTCACTGACCTATAGTTTCCTGGTTTATCCCTACCAACCTTCTGGAATGATGGTTTGGAAAATGGTACTGATATTGGTGCAGACAGAAGAATAGGGCTGAGACCATAACCAGATTAGAAAGATCACTCCCTTTGTTTCCAAGCCTCAGTTTTAATAGAATTTGAATTCTAAATGTAATGATTTCAAAGCGTAAACAATATTGTACTGCTTGCTTCCTCTCTTACTAAAGCTTTTGTCCCCCTTGGGTATGATGGCTTTTCTGAAAAATGGAAGCTTCAATAGAATTTAGTTTGGCTTTTTTTAAGGTGCTTTGCGTTAAACCGTGGAGCTCCTGTTGGATTTACACCAAATGTTTCTAACGGGCAACTTCTAAAGTTGCATCGCTGCAGTATGGTTTGTAGAGTTGTGTTGCCTTTGATTTCTCTTCCAGCTTCTAATTGCATGATGTGTTGTCTTTGTTTTTCTGTGTGGGTTACACATCTTCTCCCTGATCCAGCACGTTACAACAGTCAAAGACTGGGATATCCAAAAGTTTTTTTAATGGCATTTGTGTCTTTGAGAGAGTGCAGTTGTTGAAACCACAGAATACAAGTAACAAATTGGAGCTTAAAAAGTGCCATGTCTTCTCCATTGGAACAAATGTGCAAGGCGAGATGGAGAGGAGATTCCTCATCTTCAGACACATGGCAAACCTTAAATTTTTGAAATTCTAAATCTATTCATGTATTTTTTCAAAAAAAAAGGTGCTGCAAGATGGTCCATATTAGTGGTCAGTTTCTTGAATTCTTGTCATTGTAGAAGGCCGTTTTCAGCTTGTTCTTTGGGAAGTGATCAGACAGTACAGATACCAAATGTTGTTGGGAGCTCGGGAGCACTGGCTCCAATTGTCAGCTTATACAGAAGAGAGGAGTCAATTCTTGTAATATCACATTACTTTATTGCTGTATTAAACAAGTTGCGTTGTTTTAATGATTTTATCATGAAACTAGACCTTATTTCAGTTTGTGGGAAATTATATTAGGCCCTACTTTATACACCCAGTAGAGACCTCTGACACTTCTTCTCTCCACACGCGCACACACACACAATTAGTCACGGTATAAAAGCTAATACCTGATCGGGATAGCGGCTGTTGCTGCTGACGCTGGCTGGGCGCTGCACTCGATGTCGTCACCACAGCCTTGACGTAGGGTCTGCCTCTGTGATGGTTGGTCTTCGGAGATTTTGCTGGCTGCATGCCCCCCGAGGGTCTTTGTTTTATTCTTTCTGTTATTTCTCTCCAGTCGTGCTGTCTTCCCGTTGGCTCAAGCTAATTCACATCCCTTATAGGCCCTGGCCCAGAGACTTGGGTAGCGTTACCTCATTACATCTTGTCCAAATAAGGTTTTTGCATTACCTCGTCTTTCTTTTTGCAGAATTTAGTTAATTCACACTGGTTTAAATCAGCTCAAACTAGCACCTGTGCGCAGGTCATTTTTAGTTCACAAGCTGCTTCTTTGTTCATGTCAGCACCTTTGCATTAAGTACCTCCTGTTGGCAATGTCAGCGGCTGGTATCCCTCTCTGTCTTTATCTTTTTGCAGCCTCTGGCTAACGTCTCCCCAGGCAGCAATGTTGGCAGCTTGTACGTTTTCTTTCTATCTCTCGACAGCCTCTGACTAACACAAGAGTACTGAAATATAAAAGGGAGTTCTGAGTTCCTGCTTGTTTCCACGTCACGGGTTTTGGTCATGCTCTTTCACTGTTCTAATTTACAGTTTGTTTTGTCTTTAGCTGCTCTTATTCAACAAGCAACAACAGTGAAGAAGAAGGATATTCGTAAGTTCCTGGATGGCATCTACGTGAGCGAAAAGACCACTGTTGTTCCACAGTTTAACGATTAACATTCAGCTCTTCGTAATGCTCATCTCCTCTCCGATTGTAACTAGAATAAATTTTATGGACTGATGATGGTCTTGTCGTTTTATTTTGATGTGCAGCTGCTTGTTGATATTAAATCTTTGCATTGCATTCACTTGGATATGATTTTGTCACAGCTAATCCGGATTGAATTATTATGGTGAGGTTCTTCACCCTGTGCAAAGCTATGTCCAAGCCTTCATCTTCCTGCCTTCCAAATGCTACTACTTTTGCTTGAGGTGGGGGACAGGATAGTGATCACAAAAGAAACTATGCACCCCAGCTTTCTTGCATGCACTTTGAAACATGTTTCCTTCCTTGACCTGTTACTTGCATATCATTGTTTCGTCTGTGTTCAGAAATACGTGATAAAATCAAGCCAAGTAAGTGTTCGTGAGGTGGAAATTGTACCTGAGCAATTATTACAGTTCTTTTGAGATAACAGATAGGAAGTAGGCTAGATAAGGTGGAGCAGTAGATGTAATATTTTTATTTCTAAAGTACATTTGGTAAGGTACCCCACACATGGCTGCTTCATGAGCTATGGTGTTGGGAGATTGGCTACCTAATTGAATACAGGGTTGGGATAAGGGGGCATTTTCAGGATAGGCAGCCATTAACTAGTGGAGTAGCATATGTGTTGGGACCTACTGTTGGGTGATGAAAGTCAACGTATTGTCATTAGGTTTGCAGATAACAAAAAGAGGTGGGAAAACAATTAGGATGACAAACCCTACAGAGGGATGTAGACTGGGCAAAAATATGGTTGGTGAGATAATGTGAGGTTATGCACTTAAGCAGAAAGAATAGAGGAGCTGAATGTTATTTAAATAAGGAAGCTGCAGTAGAGGGATTTGCGGGTCCTTCGGCATCATTCACAAAAATCTTGTGTCCAAATACGGTGAGTTATAGGAAAGGCAAATGGAATGTGGCCTTCCTTTCAAAGGAAATGGGATTTTACTCTTAAAATGGAAACATTTGATGCCTTTTATCTAAGGAAAGATATGCTGACATTTGAGGCAGTCCAGGAAAGGTTCATTAGGTTGTATAGTGGAATTTTCTTCTGAATAGGTTGGGCTTACACTTGGAGTTTCAAAGAATGTGGAGACCTTATTGAAACATATCAGATTGTTAGGGGTCTTGACAGTGGTTGCAAAATAGTTTCTTGAGAGTTTGGAATCAAAAGGCTATAATACAAGAATAATAGGTTGCCCATTTAAGATCGATGACGCATTTTATTTCTTTGGGATTCTTTACTCCACAGGGCTATTGAGGCTGGGTGGTTAAGTGTGTGTATATATAAAGTAGAGATTTTAAATAGGGTAAGAAATAAAGGATTGCCAGAATAACCAACCTTCCTGCCTTGATTTATTGTCACTTACAGAGACAATGCAAAGTATTTTGTGTGCTATACAGGCAGATGCTTGAGTTGCTGATTTAAATCTATGTTGTTATGCCCACCCCGCCACAAAAAAATCTCTCAACCTACACACCATTCTGCAATAAACAGCACAAAGAAAGGTGCTGATTTAATAGCTTGGCCTTCTGTTTAGCGAAGTGTACCATCTAGCATCCAATGGTGTGCAGATCCTGTTCCATGCAGCAATTCCAGGACTTTGTGTGTCAGCTGAATGTACATAGGATGTTTCCAGTACTGGAGCAGTACCTGTTGGCACTGCAGTATATCTTGTGAAGTTGAGAGTCATGTGGATTCAGTGTTTCTGCATTTGATCATTTTTCAACAGAAGGATATGCAGGTTTGGAGATTAGGTGATAGCGAGGCAGTTAGGGGCCATGCAGCAATCCCTGCATGCACGTTGCGCCTTAACTGATGAGTGAGTGTGCTGGTTCATCTCTGGAGTGTAGCTAGAATCCAGTCCATGACACCCAGGCAGTCAGATGGACCAAAGGAAGATTGGTGAAACAACAGTGTGTGATTTTTAAGGAACAGATGGGTAATTTTGCAGCCACTGAGATGAATCTAGGATGCTCTTAATTTGCTAGAGCAAAGGCCTGGGTTGTCACTGAGCAGTCACAAGCCCCTTTGAGAAGGGACATTCATGGCCTGTGTGAGTGCCATTGACAAACATGATGAAACTGTATTGCAGGTTTTGGTGTAGCTAGACAGATGATGTCAAAAAGAGCATCAATGATAGTAATCTAGAGATAACTGTATTCTCCACAGTGGTTAGTATTGATGTGGGAGATAGAATGGATGTGTGTGTGGTGAGAGACAACATGTTCTTCAGATGTTGGGACTGGTTCTAGGGTGATAGGATCTAAATAGGCCAGAATGGTTCCACCTCAGCAAGGCTAGGAAAAATGTCTTAGCCCAGAGATTTGCTAGTGTTGTTGGCTAAATTAACTTGGAAGGGCATTGTAACCATTATTAGGAAACAGTGTGCCAAATGATAGGGGGCAACAGTAGTAAATTAAAAATGATTATTAGGAGGGAATGCAATAAAGGCTACATTTGGTTTATGGTGTACGTATATCAATGCTCAAATTGAAAAATGAGATTGGTGAGTTGCATAATTGATAACTGCATGGGACTATGACATGATCGTAAAGGGGATCTGGCTCAAATAATTGGTTAGGACAGCTGTTTAATATTTCTGGATCCACGATATGCAGGTAACAAAAGTAGTAATGAATTTAAGGATACAGGGGTTGAGGGGGGCGGTTAGGGTGGATTGTCAAGGCACTGACCACAGCATTCCAACATGAACTCCTGAAGGGAGGAAGTCTTGCCGTTTAAGAAATGCTATTAAAACATCATTAGACTAGTTATTGCATTTTCCTTTGAAGAGAGATTGAGTGAAGTATGTCTGTACTATATTCAGGAGGTTAAAATTAGATGTGATCTAATTAAAACATACAATTCATATGAGATTTAACAATATGTGCTGAGAAAATGTTTTCCTGGCTGGAGAGTTTAAAACATTGGCTCAGAGTCTAGAAATACGGAGGAATCAGCCATTTAGAACTGAGATGAGAAAATTGGTTATACAATGGTTGTGACTTTTTAAAATTATTAGCCTGGCCATCATTCAGATATTTCTCAGGGCAACATACTAAGCCCAAATTCTATTTCACAAAAGTTACTCTACAATAAACATTGACTTTGCCAGTGGTTTCTACATTCTTGGGAGAGATAAAATATAATACTTTTAAATCTTCTCTTTATTACTTCATGGGTGAGAAGATATAAGAAATCACTGTTGTGTTTAAAGGTGAGTGATGTATGTTAATACCTTGTTTAGGGTTTGGATATTAAGCTAGTAGCTTATGAGTGTTGGTCTATTTTTGTGAAAAGATTTAATGATTAACTAGGTCAGCTTTTCAGGAACCATGATTTTAAACCACTTTGTGTGGAGACCAGGTGACTGGGTGTGTGCAGACTTTTGGGTTCAGAATAATCAAGAATTGATTTTGGCTTAGAAAAAGCCAAAGTTGGGAAAGATTTGAGGTAGTTTGAAGAAGACCTGACTGGAGTCAGATGACAGTATAGTCTTTCCTAGAAGAAGGAAATTGTCTAGATCAAAGGCAGATGAACTCTGGGCATGGAGGGGAACATGGGACTGGTATGTCATAGCTATTACAGAAACATGCCTAAAGGAGGGACAGGACTGGCAGCTCAATGTTCCGGGTTATAGATGCTATAGGAAGAATAGAAGAGGAGGGGGATGGTGTTTTTGATCAGGGAAGTCATCATGGCAGGATTTAGAGAGGACATTCCTGGAGGATCATGCTGTGAGAGGTGATGGGTGGAATTGTATTATAGGTCCCCCCAGTAGTCTGCAGGAAATTGAGCAGCAAGTATGTAAGGAGATAGCAAATAGCTGTAAGAATAATAGGGTTGTAATAGTATAGGATTTTAATTTTCCAAACATAGACTGGGACTGCCAAAGTGTTAACAGCTTGGATGAGGAGGAATTTAAGTGTGTTCAAGAAAGCCTCCTCAATCAACATGTAGATGGCCTACTAGAGAAGGGGAAAACTCAACCTCCACTTGGGAAATAAGGCAAGTCTAGTGACTGAGGTGTTAGCAGGGGAGCAGTTTGGGACCAGTGACCATAATTCTACTAGTTTTAAAATCCTTATGGAAAAGGATAGGTCTGGTCCACAAATTAAAGTTCTAAATTGGGGCAAGGCCAATTTTGATGGTATCAGACTGGATCTTTCAAAAGTTGCTTGGGTGAGGCTGTTGGCAGGTAAAAGGATGTCTGGCAAGTGGGAAGCTTTCAAAAGTGAGATAACAAGAGTTTAGGACAAGCATTTTCCTGTTTTCTGAAGGGCAAGGCTGGCAGGAGTAGGGGACATTGGGATATTATGGCTTAGAACAAAAAAAAGAAAGGGGTATATGTCACATTTCGATAGCTGGGATCAAGTCAGTCCCTTGAGGAGTATAGGGGGTGTAGGAATACACTTGAGAGGGAAATCAGGAGTGTAGAAAAGGGTCATGAGATAGCTTTGGGAGATAGTGTGAAGGAGAATCTAGAGAAATTCGAATATATTAAGGACCAGAGAGAGAACAGGGCCCCTTAAAGATCAACGAGGCCATCTATGCGTGAAACCACAGGAGATGGGTGAGATCCAAACGAATATTTTGCATCAGTGTTTACTGTGGAGAAAGACATGGAAGCGAGGAAACGGGTGGCACGGTGGTTCAGTGGTTAGCACTGCTGCCTCACAGTGCCAGGGACCCGGGTTTGATTCCACCCTCGGGCGACTGTCTGTGTGGAGTTTGCACATTCTCCCCCTGTCTGCGTGGGTTTCCTCCAGGTGCTCCGGTTTCCTCCCACAGTCCAAAGATGTGCAGGCTAGGTGGATTGGCCACGCTAAATTACCCGTAGTGTTCAGGGATGTGTAGATTAGGTGGGTTAAAGGGGGATGGGTCTGGGTGGGATGCTCTGAGAGTCAGTGCGGACTTGTTGGGCCGAAGGGCTTGTTTCCACACTGTAGGGATTCTATGAAATAGTGA